TAAGTGGGTACTAGACCTGTAATATAGGATAAACATACTAAAATCTGTACAACTAAAGAAGATAAAAAAGAAAGAGTACCAGGGGTAAGATGATCAATCCACACCTAGAAAGACAAAGGGGATCAACATTGGAAGTAGGAGAACACAAGTAACAGGACAGGAGCCTACTGCAGAGGGCATCTGAAAGACTCTACCTAGCAGTGTATCAAAGCAGATGCTGAGACTCATAACCAAGCCTTCGGCAGAGTGCAGGAAATCATATGAAAGAAGGGGGAGTTAGTATGACCTAGAGGGGACAGGAGCCCCACAAGGACCAAATATATCAGGGCACAGGGGTCTTTTTTGAGACTGTTTCTCCAACCAAGGACCATGCATGGATATAACCTATAACCCCTGCTCAGACATAGCCCATAGTAGCTCAGTATCCAAATGGGTTCCCTAGTAAGGGGGACAAGAATTATTTCTGACATGAACTCAATGACTGGCTCATTGAGCTTCCCCCCTCCCCCCAAGGGAGGAGCAGCCTTGCTAGGCCACAGAGGAGGACATTGAAGCCAGTCTTGAATATACCTGATAAGCTATGGTCAGATGGAAGAGGAGGAGGCCTTCCTCTATCAGTGGACTTAGAGAGGGGCAGGGAGGAGATGAGGGAGGGAGGGTTTGGGAGGGAAAGAAGGAGGGGCTATGGCTGGGATACAAGTGAATGACCTGTGATTAAAATAAAATTAAAAAAAGAAAAATAAATAAATAAATAAATAGATAGATAGAAGAAAGTTAAAAAAAAATAAACTGAAACTCATTGCTAATCTGGGAGCAGGTGAGGTGTACCTGTAGCACCATCTACTGGACAGAGAGGAGATCCAGAAAGTTCTGTCCATTTTCTTTCTCCCATGTTGTTTCCAATGGTTCTTTGTAGCTGAAGCTTCATGCATGATGGCACTTATGAGAAAGATGATAGATAGATAGATAGATAGATAGATAGATAGATAGATAGATAGATAGATAGATAGATAGATAGATGAATGGATGGTTGGATAGATTGATAGATAGCTGGATGGATTGATTAATCGGTAGACAGAGATACAGATAGACACACACACACAGACATAGAAAGACAGAATATTTAACAGGCTATGATTAAGAGATAGGCCACAGAGGAAGACAATGCAGCCACTCGTGTGATGAGACCATAGTCTAGGATCAGAAGGAAGGAAAAGAAGACCTCCCCTATCAGTGGACTTGGGGAGGGGCATGCATGGAGAAGGGAGAGGAACAGAAGGATTGGGAGGGCAGGAGGAAGGGAGCTACGGGGGGGGGATACAAAGTGAATAAAGTGTAATTAATAAAAAATTTAAAAAGATAGTATGTATTTATCCTCCTCAGCATACTTATGTGGTGTAATTTAAATGTTAATATTATATAAGGTTTTTGTTGTCTGGGAATAAGGGTGAAATATGAAGCTGATATAGTTTTTGCTGATTCTATATTCCACAGACTCAAACCAATGCTTTAGATTTTCTAGTATCATCAGATCATTGTGGCTGACTAGAACACCTTAGTGTTAGAAACAGAGCTCCTGAGACCCTCTTTCAGCCAATCTATATGAGAATTTCCAATAATTTTTTGAGCAAGCAGTACATTTCACCTCTTAAACTTATTTGATAAATTATAAGACTGGAAACATTTAAATAGGCAGATAATTGAGGATGGAGCTTTAGGGAACAAAAACATGTAAGTACACAGATGAGAAGTCAAGAAAACCTGAAAGAAGGTATGAAAACCATACAAAGGGTTGAAGTGCAAATAGAAAATGAGAGAATCAGAGACAGAGAGCCTCATCTTCTGTGCTGGATCATGAAGGCCCATGAGCAGAGCCAGCTTATCAATTAATAGTTATCTAGCTTTTTAAAAATTATTGTTTTTCTGTGAGTTTTGTATTATGCATCTCAGTTCCTCCGGTCTTCCCATCCCCTCATATTTGCCCTTCTCTCTTGCAACCTCCCTGTGGGGCTCATGGTCCATGCCTTCAGGGGAATTGGCATGGAACTAGTGAGATGGATCATGTTTAAACCCTGGAAACCTCAAACTTGAGATTTAAAATCTCATTCTGAGAATGGAAGGTGTGGGACCAAACTCTCTTCCTGTTTCTGTGCCTGCCTCAGGAGCATGTGACAAAACCCCAAGGTGGTTACGGGAGGTCAGTCACGTGAGCTTGTCACCTGTCACCTGTTATCTTTCCCCATATAAATAGAGCATCACCAGTATCCTAGTCTCAACCAATGAAACACATTCATCCTCAAAACCCCTCCCCACTGCTCAAGGTTCATAAGTCCCTGTTTCACATGAAATAAAGCACATGAACCATCTATTTCACCAAAGATCATCGGAGACTAGCTGTTTTCTTACTGAGCTGTATCCCTTCCCCACCCCCCCAACCCCCCAAAGAATTCGTCGCTGGATCCCTGGACTTGATTGTCAGCTAGGCTGCCAACACTGGGACCATCACAGGCAGTTGCTGCCAGACCAGTTGTGGCCACTGTAGACGCTTGCCTGGTCGCTGCAGGCGTTTGCTGTTCATCTTCGAGTCAGCGGGATCGCGGCAGCCATCTTTCTCTCTGCTCTGCTTGCTGCAGTGCCCATCTGCAGTAGCGAGCTGTCAGTTGTTCTCGAAGCAGCCATTCTATTCACCCTAATCAAGTCTGGCTTTTGCTGCTGTTTGTCTTGGTTTTGGAGCCCTGAGCTTCTGTTGCTACCTAGTGCTATCAGTCCAACTAAAAGAGCCATAATACTTTGCTGTGTAAAAATCTTTTTCTGCCACATCTCTGGCCAGAGTGGAAATTATGTGGCATAGACTTCATTCCACATTCTACACTTCCCAAACCGGAGTCTGATGTTCCTGAAGCTAAACTCAGGACCCCATGCTTCATCTTTTTCTGCCTGGAGACTGATGGTGCTTGGACCTTATGGTGGAGAAGCACACACTTCCGGCTCTGAGCCTGGTACTTTCCAGAGAACCACCTCTCTCATAAAATAACACACACACACCTTAAAGCATAGAAAATGGCTCATCATGGAGGCTGTAGTAAGTCACAGTGTATCCCTCTGTCCACACATCTTCACTTGTAAATATTTATTGCAATGAGTCATTGGTCTGGTTCAAGATCTCTGGCTTCTATGACACCATTAATATTGGATCCTTACCAGGACTCCTCCCACTTATCCTGTTGTTGCCTTGTGTCATGGGGATCCTGCAGCTTTGGATCTATAGTACCAGCTTTCACTCATCCCAACCATTAACAGATGATACAGATTTTGGAGAGGGCCAAATCAGAGCCATAGATCTGGGCCTGTGTGGTAGCAGAGCTGGTCAGGGCACCAGCTCTCCCTTATCCACATCACCAGGGCAAATGCCCTAGCACTGGTAGAGCTAGGCCACACAATATTGCCATTGGCAGGGGGCAGGATCAGCTCTTCTGTTCTTTTGTCCTCATGCTGGCTCACCTGCACCAACACCTCCAGACATAGCTCCTATGTGCTGCTCAGTTAAGCGGGGCCTGCTCTCCCAACTGCTACAACCTGTGAGAGACTAGGCCAGCTCTCTAGCCCTCAAACCCTTGGGGCTGGCTTACCCATGCCTTTGTCATCTGGGCCAGCTCCACTGTGTTGCCCAGGACAAAGTGCAGAGCTCACTCTCCTGGGCGCTACAGTCTGTAAAGAGGCAGGGACAGCTCTCCTGCATTCATGTCCTTGGACCAGCTCTCCTACTATTGCAAGTGGGGGCATCACGCCCCACACCCAAACCACTTCATGGCAGAAAAGTGGCAGGGCCAGCTCTCAGGGTGGCTCTCCTGCATCCCCTCCACCAAGGCCAGCTGTATTGTGCTGCCCAGGGGAGGTGCAGGACCTACGTTTCCAAGTGCTGCAACCTGTAAAGGGTAATTTACCCACTCTCATGACCCTGGAGCCAGCTCCTGACTGCTGCAGTTGGTGAGGGGTGGGTGGTGGTAGAGGGCAGCACACCCACATGCAGGCCACCTTATGGATAAGTGGTAGGGCCAGCTTTCCCATGCTTTTGCCCTTGGGTATGGCTCATCTGTACTATGCCCACCAGGGTCAGCTCTGTTGTCTTGTCCAGGCAAGGCTCAGGGCCTGCTGTCCTGACTGCTGTGTGTAGTGAGGGGCCTAGATAGCTCTCCCATGCTCATGACCTTGTGCACAGCTTTCCTGACTGCCAGAAGTGGCAAGGGGGGGGGCATCACCTTTGCACCTGTGCTGCTCCATGGTGGGGTCAGCTCTCCCACACTCATGCCCTAGATGCCTGTTCTCCCACATCCTTGCCAACCAGGCCCAGCTCCACTGTGGTGCAGCTGGTGAGAGGCAGAGCTAGTTCTGCATAGCCCCTGGACATCCTGTGGTCCCCAGTGGCTGCTCCAATCAAGGATTTGCTCATGTTCTCTAGTGGTAATATGAACTATGGATATCAACACTGACCCCTGCCATTGTGCATCCACGGACTCAGACATGCCTGGAACCTCACCATAGCTCCAGATGGCAGGGCTGGCCACTCCCAACAGGCTACTCTTCTCCACCCTTGCATCTCCAGTTCCATCTCTCTTCATAATGCTCAAGCCGCTCTACTTCTCTTTCCCTCCCATCTGTCCCCACATCCTTGCACACTGTGGTGACTGTAGCCTGGCCACACAGCCGGTGGGCCCCTGCATGACATTCTTCATCCATACTGTGTGGTGTGGCATCAAGCAGGTGTCTACAGCCATGGGTCGGAGGGCAGAACTGTGGGTGGCATGGCTGCCTGGAGGTCTCTGTCTGTCTTCTTTCTCCCAAGTCATGCTGTGTAGTGGTAGATGGGGCTCTGTGTGTCCGTGGTGGAGGACAGGTCTGTGGGCGTCTTTCCCACTAGCACATGACATGGTAGAATGCAGGTCTCTGCTTCCTCTCAAGCGGTAGTGCCTGGATTTGATTAGATTAGATTAGATTGATTTTTATGTATCTAGGCATAAATATCTTTGGCCACCGAGTCAGGCATCAAGCTAGGATGAACAAAGGATGGTCATCTGCTCTATGCCTGACTGATAGAAGAACACCACCAACAACAAGGTGTCTCTTTGCCGATTGCAGGAGTGGGGAGTTTGGCTTTTATGCTGCCCTGTATGCTGGAAATGGGCTCCTGCTTAGCTGTGGTAGGTTAATACTATTTCTTCAGTGGGACTTAACATCATTCATGGGTTGATTCTGACCATTACTTTGATATTACAATTGTGTTTCATTGACTCTGACTTGAATACATTAAGATCACTGGTATTTTGTTTCTTTGGATTCAGCCAGTATATCTGATTATGAGATGATCCTGATTCTAGATTTTCCATATCTTACTCTTGTGTTGAATGTAAATTCTCTATGGGTAGATACAGTTTGCCTATGAATTGATGTCTAGATTCCTGGACTATCTTATAGCTTCTGTGGCGGTAATCATCTTTTCTGTTTGTACTAGATCAGACTCTATAATCATATTTCACCTATTTATCTGTCTTCTGTTTATCTTTCACCAGCCTTGAGATGAGTCCAATTATAATTGGCCTCCCCTTGTCTATTTATAATGGATCCAAATTGTATACAATGATGTGTCTGACTCTGACTGTAGCCATCTCTGCCTGTCCATATAAAAATTGTATGCTTTGGTAATATATTTTGGCTTTCCATGGCTAGTCCTTCCAGTTTGTGTCTGCTCTTGCTAAGATTCTGAGTGTCTAGGTCTGTCTTCTGCCTCTCTGTCTGAACTTTATCTAATCATGTTCAGACCATCCATGGACTGACTGACGTTGACTTTCTACATGAGTCTTCTGATTATATCAGTATCAGCACTATCCTGAGACCCCTGGTGGCTACACATATGTGTTCCAGATAGGTAGATGCAGAAAATCTCTGTAAGCAGGTCTGAAATATCTAGGAGTGTCTTCTGGTTGTTTACAATGAGATAAAATTTTTGCTGTTGTTATACTAGACTCTTTTATCCTTGGATGGCTCTAGTGTATTCCTGGTCATGTTGATATCCTGAAAGCTTACAACCATCTTTCTAACTCTCCACAGCTGTTATAAATAACTGAAAAAAGCACTTAAGAGATGGTAGCACTGCCATATCCACTGGAAACGGTGAGAGTCATGAAGCCAGCACAGCTGCCTGACACAGATCCAGCAAAGCTGAGCAGATTGCTACAATCACTGTCTTTCATTCTCTAACTTTTGGTTTTTGGTTTCTGTGTGTTGCATTCTTTGGGGACTTTATGCACTATGATTTATTTTATGTCTTTTCCTGGGAAAAATTATGTCTGAGTCTTTTTTGGAAAATCCTAGAATTAACTTTACCTGGCAGCTATTTGGAAGTCTTCCTTGTGCTCTGGAGATCATTAAGCACAGATAAGTGCATAGCGAGATGAGGCCATTGCTCCAGGAATCTTCTTGGCATATCTGCCCCTGAGCAAACTCAAGCAGTGTAATTGGTGCAGGTCAACAGAGGCAATTGCCAAACTCTGACTGGCCAAGAGAGTAGGTTACAGGTTCAAGAGCTCTTTCTTATTATAGGTATAGAGCTCTTTGAAAATGTAGTTAAAGATAGGGGTTGTACAGGGAACACCCTTGGAGGATTTGGCAAATAAAATAGACTAACAAACAACAACAACAAAAAACACGTCTTTTTTTTTTTTTTTTTTTTTTTTTTTTTTTTTTACTTTAGAGAGTAGATGATAAAACATACTGTTGCAGGATATTTGATGACATCGGGAACCCCAAGATTGTGTTATTTACTGGAAAAACCCGTTTTTAGTTGTTTGGCTTACCCTTGACACACAGCTTTAATACAAGAGCTTTTTGTTTGAATACTGTAAACAGGATTAAATAAAGTCAACCATACGTCAAGTGGTGGAGGAAGCAGCCAGTGGACAGGTAGTGAACATAGGATTATTAAGAAAAAGCCATAGAGAGGAAGAGGAAGTCAGGAGCATGGTTTGAGAGATGCACAGGAAGTAGAAGGGAGGGGCATTAATTTTTTCTCCTTTTTTATTTTTATTAATTATAGTTTATTCACTTTGTATCCCCCCTGTAGCTCCCTCCTTCCTCTCCTCCCAATCCCACCTACCTTTCCCCTTCTCCACCCATGTCCCTCCCCAAGTCCACTGATAAGGGAGGTCCTCCTTCCCTTCTTTCTGATCCAAGTCTATCAGGTCTCATCAGGAGTGGCTGCATTGTCTTCCTCTGTGGCCTGGTAAGGTTGCTCCCTCCTCAGGGGGAGGTGACCAAAGAGCAGGCCAATCAGCAACAGAACCAAAAAATCTGGGCACAGGGGTCTTTTTTGAGACTGATGCTCCAACCAAGGACCATGCATGGAGATAACCTAGAACCCCTGCACAGAAGTAGCCCATGGCATCTCAGTGTCCAAGTGGGTTCCATAGTAATGGGAACAGGGACTATCTCTGACATGAACTAGGGACATTCATTTTAAAGGAGGTTGTTTGAGAAGGTTTGGGAGAAGTGACATTCTGAGATGTCTGGTGAGGAGGAAGGTCAGCTGGGAGCTTTCTCTGCCTCTCTGAGCTAGCAGGCTTATACCCCAGTATCTGGCTCCTGAGTCTTTATTGGTAAAATTAAATTATTGAGATTTTGTTAAAAAGAACACATATTAAAAAAAAGAGTTAGGTATTAGTATTTGCTTTTCATCAAAAGACTAGTTCATATAGTTTCTGTGTGTCTGTAGAACTTTAAAACTGCAAACACTGCCAGGCTAATGTAGACTGTAGTAAATGTATTTGTTTTGGCAGAGAGACAGTTTTTTTAGATTCTTTAAATTGGAGTTATAGGTGGTGCTGGAGAGATGGCTCAGGGATTAAGAGCACTGGCTGTTCTTCCAAAGGTCCTGAGTTCAAGTCCCAACAGCCACATGGTGGCTCATAACCATCTATAGTGATGGTTCTCTTCTGGCCTACAGGCACACATGCAGGCAGAATGCTGTATAAATAATAAATAAATAAATAAATCTTTAAAAAAAAGTTAATAAAATGTAACTGATAAGAAAAAAATAAAATTAAAGCCCATGGTAGAGGACAATGCAGCCAATTTTGATGAAAACTGATAGACTAAGATCAGAAAGGAGAGGAGAACCTCCCCTGTCAGTGGACTTGGGGAGTGGCATGCATGCAGAAAGGGGAGGGAGGGTGGGATCAGGAGGGGAGCAGGGAGGGGCTTATGGGGGGATACAAAATGAATAAAGTGTAATTAATAAAAAAATAAAAAAATAAAAATAAAAATTAAATAAAAAAAATTGGAGTTATAGGGCTAATACTAAGAATAAAATCTGTTCTGTTTGTATTTTCTAATTGTAACTGAACTTGTAACCCTGGATATGTAATGAAAAATTAAACACATACTCTGTATCACTTGGATAATCATTGGTCTTTCTTCTGTGAAACTTGTATAAATAATGAAACATCTGGTTGCTAGTCAGTTAGAGCTGCTGAATTCTCCTGACCATTGCCTGGCTCCCTCCCTTCCCTGTTCCCTATCTACTCTGTGGCTGCCCTGTCAGCAATGATCCTCTGACTCTGTAAGCATCAGAAGGCCTGGAAGGCCCCTTTGGCAAGATGGGCTTATTTGGGCTTAGAATTTGGGAGGGTACAGTTCATTATCATAAGGAAAGTAAAATGACTGGTCGCATTGTGTCTGTAATTAGGAAGGTGAGAAATGAATATTGATTCTCAGATGCTTTCTCAATTTTATTCAGCCTGAGACCCCATCTTGTAGGGATAGGGCTGCTCAAACTAAGGGTGCATTTTCCTTCTTCAGTTTAAACCCTTCTGCAATATCTCCATTAAGAAACGTGTTTGTATACTGCTTCTAAATTCTTTTAAATTGACAGTGGAGACTAATCATCATACTTGTCTTCCTCTTGCGTTGAACCATACTAAAAGTGACTATGGACAAAAGCTGACAGTCCATTTTCTTCTATTATCACTATATTGATGCTAATCTGTTTTCTGCTTATACTCTGGGCATAAATCCCAAATATATATATTTCACGGATGTTACTGATTTTTTGTGTGTTCTGGCAAGGTTCCAGACTGTTGTTGCACTTGTCTTCAAGCATCTGTAGTTATATTCTGAGTGTTCATGGTTCTGTATCTTTCTTTTTATTGGATTCAGCTTCTCCATGCTTAGAACCAAACTCTCCATGAATTTATGTCTGACCTTGACAAAATACTATTGGTTTACAGCTGTCTTCTGTTTCTTCATAACTGGACATTTGACTGATATGATTATTGTATCTGGATCATCACTACTGGTTTAGACTAACCAGTAGTGGATGACTGGCTCTGACAAGGCTAAGAATTATACTTTATAAAGACTACACAACACTTATATAATTTATGTCTTAATTCCCCTACAGCTGGACCTTTATTTTTCTTTGTGATATATTCTACTACTTTTTCTGCAGACTGCCCAAGGATTGAACCATGTCTTCCAGATTGACTTAGTCATCATTATCTGAAGATACACCCTTGATGTCTGTTTATAACAAATCTAATATATGTTAGTAATAGTTGTCTGCAAGCTTAGTCAAAAGCCGCAGTGATACCTTTAGACTGTTCATAAGCAAACCCATTTCTGTTTCTTGGGTTCAATCAGATTCTTCATTGAAAGATCTGGATTGCCAGTGAGTAGATGACAATATTTGATGACCTCAGTTTTAAAAAGAAAATTTGCACATAAAGGTTTTTATTTACATCAGCAGGGTGGTGAATAGATGGAAACAAGGCCCATAAACTTAGGAGAGAGTCAATCATTTTCAGACAATTTTAGATTTAGACGTTTAACTAGACTGAACTATTCTTTTACATTGTAAACAAGTTTTCCACAAAAGCAAAATATATTAAAACTGTTCAATTTATTTTAAAATATGATTTAAATTTGTTTTTTTTTACTTCTTTAAATGCCAGATTTTCTTTGACAAATCAGTTCAACATGCTGAATTTCATTTCAAAGCATTGTTTACACAGTAGAGTGCCATAAGTTGACATCCTCTATGCTCCAGTGCCTTATGTCTTCCATATAAAACATATATCCTTATTGAATTGCC